GATCTCTGCGATTCTTTTCACAAGAATTTCTTGTCAGGAACCTGGTGAATATGACCCATACATGGACCCCAATTTCCTGAATGGCTCTCATGATGGTTCAGCCAGGGGACGTGGCGGGCATATGGGAAGAGGCCGAGGTGTACCGCCAGGTGCTGGGCCAAGGTAAGACGAATGCAAGTGGTGGCTCTGCTCCATTCCTAAAGCGCTAACGTGGAGGCTCGTTTCCGCAGAGGACGTGGACTCCCCCGCGGTGGTCCCCGTGGGGCTATGCGCGGTGGTGGCCCACGAGGAGGAATAGGCCGGGGCAATTCTCGAGGCGGGCCAGCCGGTAGAGGTGGACCCACAGCTCCCAATCGAGGGGGTTCTGCCTCGCGCTCCAGACCCCCTGCGGCTGGTGCACCGAGGATGCTCCCCGCTGCTGCACTTTCCCACCAGCAAGTTCCCCCTTCCGGCTCCCAAGCCAAACCAGAGTCCTATGAAGACTATGTAAGCTATCAAACATAGCTTTCTTATTTAGGCGTCTCAATAAATGGTTTATCAAACGCACGTCTTGGCATTTTTTTGCCATGATAATGTACTGGGTGATTTATCCTTCTTCCAGCCTGCTTATGAAGATTCATATGCAGAGCCAGCCTATGAGGGATATGAAAATTATTATAGCCAACAACCTGTGCCCACGTAAGTGAATATTATGACATGAGCTTGACATCCAGTTTATTACATTCCAACACATTATGCTTACATTTGAAATTTGTTCACAGGGATACTGAATATTATGACTATGGTCATGGAGAGCCCCAGGAAGCTGGCTATGAACAATATGGTCAGTATTCATTGCTGTTCACAAAAAAATATGAATCATAGATGAATGTATTGATTGGTTATCTTCATTTTCCCTTCCCCCACCAGCTCAGGAGGACTGGGAGAATACTTGGGGCGCTCCTGCAGCTGGAGGCAAGGCTACTCCAGCAAGGCAGTCAAAAGGAACCTATAGAGAGCATCCTTATGGAAGATTCTGAACACCTACTGGTAGAGTTGCCACGGCAACTGTCTTGGATTGTAACTCACTTAACCTTTCAAAAGTAATTCCCACTGTTTTTTCCTCACCCTTTTATCGTTTATTTAAATTTTTTTATAGCTTCACATTTTTAGGAGAGATTTTGTTGCATGTGTCCGATTTTTTTTTTCTTTTTTTTTCCCAGGGGTAAAAGGATATGCTAAGTTTGTCGTCAGTTTACTGTTTCCATTTAACAACTGTTAAAATTAGTAGTTGGCAGTTCCAGCGTGACAAACCTAAGAGGCATTCACATTTTAGCGCTATTTACTGGTTATGTTTTAATTGTATCGTAAAATTATCGTGGCGAACGAAACCACATAGGCTTCATATCTCGTTCTTTACAAACGGAACAAAAGAGAACAGTTTAATTTGCAATCTAAAATAAACCTTTTATTATGGTCCAACACAAATCTTACATCATCGAATTCTTGTCTTCTATTAGGTCATCTAAACCATATGGTTAAAAAAAAATTGAACAAATGAAAAATATACCAGATAATCTGAATGGTCACAATTACTTGCAAAAATACTGAAGGCCAACCAGTTCTCCGTGTGTCCAGGTGGCTGCAGCATCAATATTTTGTACATAACTGTAGGACAACTATTGTATGTTGCAAGACAAAATGCATCAGTGTGTACATTTGGTTAAATAGGATCCTAAATGCGTATTTCCAAATGTCTTTCTGCCTTGCGCTGTTGAAATAAAGTTTCTAGTTTCAGTTTAAACTTGATTTAAACGTGGTATTTTGCCTTTGTTGTCCGAAAAAAGATTTCCGTTGGTGAAGATGTAAATGTATTTGACGCTGAATACGCTATGTGTACTGTCAGTCTGATTTTTCTTTCACACAAAACAAAACGGTGTCTTGACATTGACCTATGTTTTTCCAAATTTTCTAAACTACCCTTGTAATGTCACCTACGATAATAAAGCTCATCATTCCACAAGGTATGGTCTGCCAAATATAAGTTGGACTTGATATCCTGCTTGAATATGTATTGTCGTGAACCTTTAGTGCATCTCCAACTCTAGAAGGCGTCAGCCGCTTGAAGTAACTGAATCTCAACAGTATTTCAAACCAAGCTTGCAGGGGTCTTGACTTTGAAGCAAAGTCATGCTGGCTGCTTTTTTAAAAAAGACAAAAATCGCAGAGGGGAGGATTCTAAAAGCCAAAAGATCGCCACATGAAGGTAACAACTAACCAACTCTCATCTATTAGATATTTGTTTTTATATTGTGCCAAGTAGAAGTTATTATTCGGAATGCACCAAAAAAAAAAATGCTTGAAGTGCAAAATGTTATCAGTTATTCCGAGCAAAAAAGCCGTACAAAAAGACTGTAAAAAATGTGCTGCAACTCTTGCTCAAATAAAAAAAACAATTTACTCAATACCTTATTTTTATTTTGGCAATTTCTGTAGATTGAAGATGGATGAAAATTAGTTTCATAATATCAGACCTAATACATGTGATGGTAATATATCCCATGTAGATGGATGAAAATTAGTCCATTGTAATATATATCACATCTAACAATACATGTGCTAGTAATCCCAATAATGGAAAAAAAAATGCTTGAGTTGCATAAATCTTTAGATCGTGTTAGATTTGCATGTTTGCTTGTGTGAACGTGTGAATGCCTGTTCAGTGTGCAGATTTGTGCTGCCGAGAGCTCATTTTGTCTTTCTTCGTAGGTTTTAAGTGAAATGTCTCAATGCTGGAGACAAAACTGCTTCCAATCTCCCTGAGCAAGGACGGTATGTGAGAAAATTGTCTTGACATGTTTTGGCCAGAAAGAAACTGAAATTTGCTGTGCTCACACAGGTCTTTCAAGTGTCCTTTTTGAAAGAGGGGAAGCTTTGTCAACACGGAACCTGGACTTCGCTTTGCAGAATGTTTACAGAGGAGACAAGTCATTTTTCTTCTATGAGGAATTTTTAGAATATGTGAATTCTTTATCCTTTTTTATTCACATTTGTAATGTTGATTTCAATAAAGTATTTATTTCAACCACTGCATCAGTGACTTGTCACAAAGCAGAACATGCTGTTGTGTAGAAACACTGTAAAGTTAATGGCCCACACTTTAAGCTAACTAGGGTGGTTTTAGAATTTAGTACTTGCACATAATGCGTTTCTCACTGTATTGTACATTAGAGCTACACATTCTAATTCGCAACTGTAGATCAATAATGATCAGTCTGTTAGTCCATTTATTATACAAGCAAAACACAACAGCAAATGTACAGTGCAAGATAATGACTTGAAAATTATAAGGATTCCATAAATCTTTTGATTCTTACGAGGAATTTGTATTACCCGTTTTATGACATTTTCGTTATAAATTTAGCATGTCTGTTGTTGCAGCTTTACTTCTCACCAGATGCACCGACATCAACACATTTGGGATGAAATGTCACCCAAAAAGTTGATGTGTCAAAGGCCCGCGATCCTCTAGATCAGGGGTCCCCAACCGCCGGTCCGCGGACCGGTACCGGTCCGCAGGGCATTTGGTACCGGGCCGCACAGAAAGAACTTGCCTTATTTCTGTTTTATTTATTTCGGAACACGAAAGATGTTTTATTTTGAAAAATTACCGGATTCTCTTTTACATCCGTCTGTGTCACGCTTGACTCACGTCAAGCCACACTTCTCGGTCACGTGACCAATGACGCTTAAAAACAAAACACTAAAGCCCGCAAAATGAGTAAAAATGCTGCTTGGAGATCACAAATGACAGCGGCCTTAAAAGTACGTTCGAAACAACTGGATCAAAGTTATGGCTGAATACTCTGAGATCGCCACAATAGCACTGTTGCTATTTCCGACATCCTACCTGTGTGAATTGGGGAGTTTCTGCAGCAACGGCGACTAAAACAAAATTACAAAGTAGACTGGACATAAACCACACACTTGAGGTGTCATTGTCTGCTATTACCCCGAGATGGGACTGTCTGATTGCAGAAAATCAAGCTCGGGGCTGTGGTGAGTCGTCATTTTCATGCACTTTGAATTTGCGTTGTATCGTATTTTGAAGGCATTAAACATTACCAGAGCGATAAGAGTGTTGCGACCAGATTAGACACTCCTTGTGTTTATTTTTATATTTCGAAAACACCACAGTTTTCATGCAGCTCATACCATATTATTTTGTTGTATTAATTCGCCACACCTTAAATGCCGGTCCCTGAAAATATTGTCTGACTTTAACCGGTCCGTGGGGCAAAAAAGGTTGGGGACCCCTGCTCTAGATCCTTTCTGTAAATTAGCCTCGTTCAAATGGCTCCGGGGCGTCTTTGTCTATCCAGTATTTTGTTACAAAGGCAAGAGACGGGGTACAGTCTATAGTGGTCGCCTGACAATGGCGCGGCACAGCGACATAATTAGTGGTGTGCAAGCCCTGGCACGGGGCAATCAGTGGCCTACTGCATATTTTTATTAAACAACAAAGACATGCCTGCACCCAAACATTTATAAAAAAAACAAGTTTAAAGTGTTCAAAGACAGCACACTCAATTTGAACGCGTCTTTTTCAAGTGTAAAAAAGGAAACGAATATTGTGAAGTACAATTGAATGTTACAAAATATGATCACAGTAATATTGTTTTCTACTGATAACACCCAATATGATATTTACTTTTCTATTTAAATATGTTTAATTGCCAACATCCTGTGTCGTGTGCTGCTCTCAGTGAAAAAGGTTTGGACAGCCCTACTGCAGACAACCCTTCACAATCAAGGACAATTAAGTCTTCAATAAACCTAAGAACATGTAGGCGAAATCCACTCAAGCATGACGAGAGCTTTCAAACGCCACACGAGGCAGAGACACGAAGCATACATTTCAGCAATGTGAAGCAGATGTTCGAATCTCGAATCTCAAACGTAAGTGCACGCATTGTGACGGCGCATTTTCTTTCTTCCAGTCACTGTTCCTTTAAATGAGACTCCGCCCTCCGGTTGGTAACATCCGCGCTGCCTTTTATCAGCAGCCACTTGTACAACAACAATGAATGTATTTGGCGATTTCAGTGAAAAATACGCCAATATCGCAGTAGTTCTTCTAAAACTCTGTTGCCTTTAAGTGGAAATTTATGCCGCGAAGCGGGATTTGACACACTGTCGCTGGTAGGCTTTCATCTTCTTGTGTATCGATTTAATATCTTAGCTGAACACTTTGCTAGCTCGCTCCATAGACTCTTAGGCCTCTGATCTTTGTATTTGATCAAGCATGGTCTTGGCGGAAAGACCCTCCGGCTCCATTCGTCATTGCACAGCCTCACACGTTCTTGCAGCGTGTGTTTCATGGCTTGGACGGAAATTTTCGCTGCTTACAGAAACAGTTGTGCGACGTAACCTCGGGAAGACACTGTGCAAATCTAAAGGATGATTGTGCAGCAAGCAAGTGCGAAATCATTTGCAAGTTTGTGACACATTCATTGGAATTCCAATCTTTATGAAGACAGACGGAGTTACCGCATTACGTACTGAACGTATACTTTGTGTAACTTGTGATAAGATTGAACGATCTCGTGGGTTCTGCTTGTTTTGACCACGCCTTCGAGCAAATTAAGTCCTATTTGCGAGTTGATGCCAGCCATTTAAATAGCATCATTCTATAGTTGCTAATACAATGTGTCAGGTTGTCTTGACGGTTTCCCCTCCTCTAAACAGGTCTTTTAGCAAGGAGAGGAATCCCTTTAGGAGTGAGCTGTGGGTGTGTGTAATGGCAGGTGGAAGGCGAGGGGCAAACCGCACCACTTACTGCAGACCCCCACTTGGCAGTGAATCAGGCTCAGTAAGCAATGGCAACCACTCCACCAGCTCTCCGGTCACCGGGGTGCGATCTCGCACGAGGTTCGTTTGAATCATTCGCTCGCATTAAGGCAGAAAAGCATAGTGAGCCGACTCCGTGGTATTTTTTTTCCCCCTGCAGGAGTGGTACAGGAGCCTGCATGTCCAGCCCTCCGCTGGCTGCGCAGACAGTGATTCCCTTGAAGCACTGCAAGATCCCCGAGTTGCCTGTGGATCACAGCGTGCTTTTTGAGCTCCACCTTTTCTTCTGCCACCTCATTGCCCTCTTTGTCCACTATGTCAACATCTACAAGACTGTGTGGTGGTACCCGCCATCACATCCTCCCTCACACACGTCACTGGTGAGTACCCTTACGGTGACGTGGTCGTCATCGTGGTTCTCACGTTAGTTAAAACCAAAAAGGATAAAGTGCCACAGTAAACATTGAACTGTACATTTGTTGCGTTACATTACATTTGTTATTTTATGTTAACTGTTCCGTAAAGGGCTTTGTTACAGCTGCAGCTGTTGGTAAAGCGTGATATAAATGAAGATGTATCGTATTCATAACTGTGAGAGTGGTTGGCACTTCTGGCTCACGGTTCTGAGGTCTGCTCTTCCCGTGTGGAGTTTGCGTTTTTTTTCAGTACATGCTTAGGTTTTCTCTGGGTACTTTTAACTAGCAGCAAAATCAATCACGTCACTTTATCTCATCTAAAAAATGAAGTCATTGCACGAAACAGTTTTTTTCCCTTGCAAGCAAAGCTATGTTGGCAAGATGGCCAATTTGTCATTGACAAGCCTTATTATGTGTGTAGCGCCTAATGTGTTTGTCCCGTCCTTGACTGCATCTCCACAATCTCTCTTTGACATGTACTCCTCTAAGCATCTTTTTTTATTAAATCTCTGATGGAACATTGTAAATGCATGTCCAAGTGGCAAATCTGTCCTTAAATCTTCATGTTGTTTTTCAGAACTTCCACCTGATTGATTATAACATGCTCGTGTTCATAGTCATCATTTTGGCCCGGAGGTTAATCGGAGCAGTTGTCAAAGAGGTGAGAACATCTATTTTTCCCTCTTCTAACACTGCGTTTGCAAAAAATGTGTTACATGTTTAGCGTGCGTACATACAACAGCCCCACAGATAGTTGTGGTCAGATGTATTAAATATTTAACTGTAACTCGTGCTGATGGAAGAACAGCGCATCACAACAGTATTCACAGCGCCACATGTTGTCCAACGACAGCCTTATTCCAAAACGGAATGAAATAAAGTTTCCCTCAAAACGCTACACACAGCATCTCATAATGAGAATATGGTAAAAAAACAAAACAAAACATTTTTCACAAGCTTGACAAAGCTGTTTTGGGGCAATTTCAAGACAACAATTTCCATGTCATCACGTTATTCCATTTAGGAATTAGTCTGTAAAGCTGAGAATATTTCCCAATGAACTGTGCATGTAGAATCCAAAATAAAATGGCAGCTGACATAGGAATTTGAAGAATTCTGTTGTTCCTGTTTACCTTTGATCCCTATTCTGAAATAAATGAAATGTCCTCTTTCTGTTTTGGCTCTCCTGTAGGCATCACAGAGTGGCAAGCTCTCATTTCCTCATTCCATCTTCTTAGTGATGGCCCGGTTTGCTGTGCTAACGCTGACAGGCTGGAGTCTGTGCCGCTCCCTCATTTATCTCTTCAGAACGTACTCTGTGCTAAGCCTGCTCTTTCTCTGCTACCCGTGAGTACCATCATGTCTGCTTCATTCAGGGAACTTTGGACCTTGAGCTTCTCAGTACGTTGACACGCACACTTAATCGGGTTACTGACATGGTTCCTTCTCTCCGTTTTTGTCCCCACACCACTCTGAGTTAACGTAATGATTATCAACTTGCCTCTTCCACACGAAGAGCTATATATTTTTTTTTTTCACGAAATAGCAGAAAGAGCAACCGCAAATTTATGTTGTTCTGAAAAAGCAATTTTTTTCCTTCCAAAGACATGTATAGTAGTTTGTTCACATTTCAGATTGTTCTTATCGCATTTGCTGGTAGATTTACAACTTTCTTACCTCTGCTGATAATACACAATTCCATAATCCGTTTTCTTACCATTTTTTTTAAAACATGTGGGACAATTACAGTTTTAAAGGTATTTTTCATGGGCGGCGGTATCTGCCCCAACTCAATTCAGAATTAATAAATTACTATGACTACTGTGACCTTCTGCACTCCACGATAATTGGGCCTTTTCATTTAACCCTCAGCAGTATGAAATATGACAATTCCATGTTTATCTGAATTGGATATTTTTTTATAATTTTACTTTTTGTCTTTGTAAAAAAATATCATTTTTTTGTCGGTTTGGCCTGTGCGTTTGTCAGAGATAAAAGTGACGAACATTTGAATAAACAGACTCAGGAAGAGATTTGTCTTTGCGCTCCGGCAGGAGACGCAATTTTCTACGAAGCCACTCTGTGTACTGCTTCTTCACTGACAGCTGACCTCTGCAGCCTCTGCCGGCTTTTTATTGATCGTGTATGCAAATTACAAGTGATATATCAGAAAAACACTCCCTTCTTCATTTACATGTCACGCCTCTCAGCCCAGTCCACCGATACGCCCCTCAGTGGGCACCTGGAGGCCAAAACATCTCTCGGTACAAACAATGGATACCTTGTGACTTCAATGGGTAGATTTCGCATGAATTGAGACACTGTAACAAACTCAAGGACATCTTATCGTGCTCGCCACCCGAAGTTGAACCTTCTTGTCTGTACTATCAGTTAACAAGGCCGCAGTTTCATTCAGCTCAAGTTGGCCCTTTTTCTCTGCTCTAAACACACGCGTTCGAGGTCAATCAAGCATACAACAAAATGAAACTTTTAAACATGATAACTTTGATTTTGTCTATACATTATCAGCGTTATCATCATTGTTTCATTATGTTGACATCACTCTGATCCGTAGGCTCTCATAGGGGTCTTTGGGTTGTAGGTGCCCACTTTACACATAATAATTGCTTTGGTCTCTTTGCAGTTGAATAAATAGAAGCAGCCGGCCACAGTGTGAGGAGTATGTAGCACATCCTGCTGCTTGGTGGAAACAAGGCTGATGAGGCACATTAGCTCACCTCTCTAAGCAGTAGATTGATAATGGCGCTGCAGTCAGAGGAAGAAGTCGCTCTTTTTTTGTTTAGTTGGCTGGACAGTTTGCTGCTTGTTAATAGGCGCTGACAATGTGGACATTGTACAGGGACACAAGAGCGCATTGAGCCGCTTCGTTCCCACGTGATTTGCTGTTACTTTCACTGCACTCGATGTCTCCCACTCACCACCTGGTGGACCTTCGGTGGTTTCGTGTGAGGAGGCTTTCATTTTTGTCTGTTGCGTTTATTCGGTGGGCCTTGAACACAACGTGAGTGAAGCTTTTTGCTGGAAAAAAAAAAAAATCATCCATTTGCTGCTGGGCTCAGACTCAGTGTCGACTATATAAAAATAGTGCTCTGCAACCATCTTGTACCATCCATAGGCAGTGACAAACCATTTGGGGTGGGCATTAACTCATTCACTCCCAAAGACGTTTTTAAACGTCTTTTCAGACTTGGTCCAGAATTGGCTGGTACTGAATGAGTTAATTAATCGTGCATACAAGGGGGTGCGGGGTTACTGTCCAACCATAATTGTAAAAACTAATTGTACCTCCTGTCCACTACAGATTTGGGATGTATATTCCATTCTTTCGGTTGAGCTGCGACTTCCGGCGTGCTGGTCCCCTCTCCCCCATCGCCAGCATTGGCTCCAAAGAGATGGGCAGCGTGGGCCGGGGGCGGGACTACCTGTCGGTGCTCAAGGAAACCTGGAAGCAGCACACCAGCCAGCTGTACGGCGTCCAAGTCATGCCAACTCACGCCTGCTGCCTTTCCCCAGACTTGATCCGCAAAGAGGTGGAGTTCCTCAAGATGGACTTTAACTGGAGAATGAAGGAGGTGCTGGTCAGCTCCATGCTGAGTGCTTACTATGTGGCCTTTGTACCCGTCTGGTTTGTTAAGGTGAGATCTTCGTGGGTTTTTAATATGCAACGGAACTTTAAAATTTGAATACCCCTAAAATCATAGAATTCTCAATGTGACCGGCATTAAGTTAGTTCGGCAGTCAAATGACTTCATGTGAGACTCCTGCATACAGTGTCTTGAACTTCTTCAGCAAAGCTCATGACACAGCTCAGTGAGTGTCTATAGAATTCAATGTTTTGCTTTTGGGCTTTATTCTGTTTTTATTTTATTTATTTATTTTTTGTGAAGGGAGGTGAGCAATGGCATTGTCTAAAGCTGCTGACTTTGATGATGATAGAATTGGAAAGTGAGATGGAACACATCTCAGTTCTGGCTGCTTGGTACAATATGGCCAGATTGAACACAACATGAACAATGGAGTTAGATTAAGTTGCAATATATACTAGTGGATAACCTTTTATCCACTTTTTGTGATTTGATGACAGATTTTCAATGCTTCTCGAATTGGTGCGTTTTTTTTTTTACCATTGATGACGGTTTTTCTTACTGTCACTCCTGACTTAAGTTTTTAATTTCTAATGGCCCAGCTTTAATAATCAAGTACACTGCAGTTAAGTTTACTTCCATTAGCTTTCATTGAAACGACAATGGAAGAAAATTAAATATTAGAACGTCAGCTACATTGCAAAAAGTGGCATTTCAATTGTGAGTATTGAAGTTATCGTCAAAATTTCCTGCCCCACACCTGATGGTCTCTCACGGAACACTAGTTGTTATTTTCGGAAAAATCTCCCAGCAGACCTCAAAACAAAAATGTCCAACAAAAAGTATTTACTACTGGAATACTAATGATCTCATCTGAGTTTGCTTACACATTTACTTTGTGTGAAATCTGAATTGAACACTAAATGCATATATCCACACAGAAATGGAAGAAAGACGCACACAGAGACCTTCAACAGAGCTTGAAGCGCTCTCTTTTTGACAGTCATGCTTGAAACGCGATAATAAAGCTCACAATAATTGTTGAAGTGAAGGAGAAGTTATCTTTTTCGCAAATTCAAATTTCCCAGCTTTTAAGATCATCAAATTAATGTACGTGTAAGGAAACGTAACCCAAGTAAACCTGAAATGCAGTTTTTAAATGATGATTTTGCTTAAGGAAAAAAATAAATGTTAAAAGCTACCTGGCCCTGTGTGGAAAAAATATTTGTACCACACAGGGCCACCCCACCGATAAAATCATGAATGAACTGTGGCTAATCACATTTTTTGAAAAATTGAGTTCATTATTATTGGGCATACCCACGCCTCATTTACTCTGATTAACAAAACTGTACTTAAGTAATGATGCAATAAAAATATATTGCACACATGAAACAAATTGTATTTGTATCCAAATAAATGTTTAGCATAGCAAACGAAACTGTATTGTACTTAAGTACAACTAAACTGCACTTAAAAAAAAAAAAGTTAAAACCACTGTAATGTTATGAGCACTTTAAATTAAACATGCATTTCAGTGATTTTTTTTTCTCCACGCACCCCTAGAGGGAGCCACACATGCTACTCTTGGAGAATCACAATCTTCGTATCATAGGATTCATGCTACACCTCATAGGTTGTTCCCCCTTTGTTTTTATTTAGAGCACACAGTATGTAGACAAACGGTGGTCTTGCGAGCTCTTCATCCTGGTGTCAGTCAGCACGTCAGTCATCCTCATGAGACACTTATTGCCACCTCGCTACTGCGACCTGCTCCACAAAGCTGCAGCGCACCTCGGCTGCTGGCAGAAAGTAGACCCGTCCCTCTGCTCCAACGTCCTCCAGCACTTGTACGTACTCTCACAGTTAACCAGGGAACTCAATCGCTGAGATGTGCCTTGTTTGAGAATAATTCAGAAGCATTGTCCGTGATGCGTTTCCTCTCAGTTGGACGGAAGAATACGTGTGGCCACAGGGAGTCCTGGCCAAACATAATAAGAACGTCTACAAAGCGACGGGCCACTACAACGTGGCAGTACCATCAGATGTGTCCCACTTTCGCTTCTATGTGAGTAATACGACTTGATCAGCTGGCTGCAGACTGGTTTGTACAGTAGTGCCTCGAGATAGTTTTTCGAGATACAAGTCATCGTTCGGTTTGGAGCAAAAAAAAAAAAAAAATAGGAGTGCGCAAAAATTTTTGACCTGAGTGCTGTATGGTAGCAATAAAATCTGTAGTGAAGAATTCATCAAGAAAAGAGGCTTGATGCTGTTTCCTGATACTCCCAGTTTAAGTTTATGGTCAAAATAGATAAAACACATAGGAAATGTTGTATGCCAAATTGGCCCTTGACCAGTGTGGTGAATGTGGGAAATATTCACCTTGCCAACTCGCTGTTGGCAAAGTGGTGAGTGGGGAGCATTCAGTACAGTATTAAAGAGTACTATTTTCTCATTCAAAAACACAATTGTCTCTCTTTTTGTTGGGTTTTTTTTTGGGGTGGGCGCGGAACTGATAAGTGGCATTTCCGTGTATTTCAATGGGAGAAGATGATCTGAGATACAAGTGTTTTGAGTTCCAAGCATGGTCATGGAATTAATAAATCATATCTCATGGTACCACTGTTTTAACTTCTTAAAAATAGTTTGTGCTACATCAGATTAATCTATTGGCATCGGTTTGCTTTTTCCTCGCAACTGACTCACTCTGTCTTTTCCACCCGCAGTTCTTTTTCAACAAGCCACTGCGAATATTGAACATCCTCATCATCTTGGAAGGTACCATGATTTTTTACCAGCTCTACTCGTTGATATGCTCAGATAAGTGGCATCAGACTATATCGCTGGCACTGATCCTCTTCAGTAACTATTATGCCTTCTTCAAGCTTCTGAGAGACCGAATTGTCTTAGGCAAAGCATACTCCTACTCAAACAGCCCATCAGACCAGAAAGTCACTTAGGTATAAGTTATTATTGTGGGACGCGTTCAAGAAGAAGATGCTCAAGAGCTCTGTATTTTTTCTACAAAATTGCATTTTGTGTCTTGCTTTTGTTCCAATCTGTCATAATAAAAAAAAGGAGATATTTTTGTAGTACTTAAAATGTTGTCTGGTTGTTAATGTTTCCTGTCCTTGATCTTTTCCTACTGAGTAGGTGTTTAAAACTCACTTTTGGTAATACGCCTTTATTTTTATAATCTTATGGTACACATGTCATAAAAGGTCCATTACTCAATTACGGTACATTTATTTGAACAAACAAAATTGTGCCGCAGAGTGGCTGTGTGATTAAGCACATCTGCCTCAAAGTTGTGAGATTCCTATTGAGGCCTCGTGTGTGTGTGTGTGTGTGTGTGTGTGTGTGTGTGTGTGTAGGGACTTTTAATGAGGGGGGAAAAATAGGGACCGGGAGGCTTTAATAAGGACTGCAACAGATTCAGAGAAGCAAGATATTCCCCATCCAGGGTCTCATTTAAGGGAGTTGTTTGGTGTTGTCTTGTTTGAGCTTGAATATCACCAGCTTCTGACGTTCCAAATTTGTCTAATTTGAGACACCTCCGAGTAAGGTATTTTTACAGTCTTTGTTTTCCCAAGTACTGTGATTGTACTTCCACGTAAGTGACGCAATGAGGACAAGTGATAAAGAAAATGGAAGAATCCCAAAATCGTATTCATGTCAAATTAATAGAATGAGGTATTCCAAATACACTTGATGAAAAAGATTAAATACGTGTTTATGGTAATGGTGCATTTCAATTCAAATTAATGAATGGACATAATTGGAGACCTGAATTAAAATGAGTTGACCAATCAGCTTAATCAAAGACATAAACAAAGGACATATTTTGGAGAAGGTTTGGTTTGATGTTCACAGATCGACATACTTGATGGCATACATCATACTGTCAGAGGAAAAAAAAATTACAAGAGCTGCTCAATGCTTGTCAGACAGCGCGGGCGCCACCAGAAGAATTTTAGGCGCACTGTCCCTTTAAGAGCGCCGAAGGCTGCAGCTGCGCAGATGGTCGCTCATCGCAGCCACGATTGAACGTGTCAACATTTCTACGGATGCTTCGAGGATGAATTAAACCTGCTTATTTAGCCATACACGCCCAAATGTGGTGATTGACAGATGGGAAATATAATGGCGCGACCATTACCTTCCCAGCTGCGTTACTGATTCGGTAAGTGGCATTTATCAAGACGATGTTTTCACATGCGTCTTTTTTTTTTCTTTTTAAAATTGTAATCAATGCATTGAGAAACAAAGGACAATGATTTTCAAGCAACGGTAGATATAAACTTGAATTTCTAAAATGTGGCAAATATTTGGATTGCAAAGCAGAATTTCTGCGGGTGTACTCTTTCGGATGTTTAATCCGTCAGATAACTGCTATTTGTATTGACTTCGGTGGTTGTTATAGGATGAATTGGTGACATCTTTCTAATCGCATTAGGGTGTCTAACAATAAAATTGCTCTCTTGATGGGTTAACCCACAGTAGATATGGCTGCAGACGTTTTACAGGAATGGCTGCAGACGTTTTACAAGAAAAATATCCTTATGATAATATTTCTATTGTTTTTGATAGTGACGTAACACAGTTGGTGTTTTGGTTGCCAAACAGCACTACACGGAATGAGTGCTTGATTATGTAAGTCCTAAGAATTGATTCCACCGCTTGAAGTCATGCCATGAGGTCTATTTGAAAGGACTTTTAGACACATGTACGGTATTGTATTTCAGTGGTTCTCGAACTGAGGTCTTCCTGTCCAAAGACAGCTGGGATTGGCTCCAGCACGTCCGCGACCCTTGCGAGGAGGATAAACAGATTAGAAAACGGATGGATGGATGGATGGATGGATAGAGTATTATTGCGGGAATAAAGTGATACTTTTTTGAGGATTTATTTTTCTCAGACTATAGTATTTTTTAAAATACTTTTTCGAATAAACGGTGTATTTTTGAATTTCCAACGCTGTCTTGAAAATAGGCAGCTTTTATTCGCATTTATAATGCACATTCAGGAAGGCAAGGCAATGCACCGGTTTAGAGGACATTTCATACACAAGGCAACTCAATGCACTTCACACAGCTAGAACCACTGCATCTGAAAGCATTTACAACACAGCTGAATGCATCCGAAAAGCATAGAGAGGTTGTGGGTTCAAATGACCAAAGTCAATTGGTGCTAAAAGCTATCTAGGGTACATAGTTCGATCCCAGGTACGGCCTTCCTGTGTGGAGTTTGCATGCTCTCCCCGTGCCTGTCTGGGTTTTCTTCAGCTACTCCGGTTTCCTCCCACATTCTAAAAACATGCATGGCAGGTTAATAGAACACTCAAAATTGTCCCAAGGTGTGATTGTGGGTGAGGATGATTGTGTGTGTGCTGGGGTTGGCCGGCAACCAGTTCAGGGTATACCCCGCCTACTGCCTCAGGACGGCTGGGATAAGCTCCAGCACGCCCACAACTCTCGTGAGGACGCGCGGAATAGAAAATGGATGGATGATATACTCATTATTTATGTTCCAAAGACCCAGAGAGGAAAAGCCGCATGCCGCATGTTGCAGACCCCTCAGTTACAGTAGATGGGCCCTGTGCTCATGACAGGCTGCACGCACATGTATGCCCTAAATGGCCTCATCAACAACTATCTGCAGAGCTCCACAGGAAGAAGCCGGCAATCGGTGGATGATGGAGGACAAGCGCAAGAAGCGGAGCCCTAAAGTGTCCCTTCCACAGCCGCCTCCTCCCCCCATCAACCCACGCAAGGTCTCCGTCCTGCCCGCCAGCAAAAGTGCCACCTTCTCTCTCGGCCTGCCGCAGCCCCCGTCCCCCAAAAACCGAGGGAAGTACAAAAGGTCTGTTGGAGCGGCGGGACAGCCTAAAGAGGTCTTCGCTGGTGTGGTGCCTCCACCCAAGATTACCAGGTAAGTACACTACCACATACCGGTATGAGTACAGTTCAGTTGCATTTAACTTTTAAGTACAGTGCAGTACATATGTGTTTAATAATTTAGAAGCGTTTGTTTGCAAACATTTATTCAGGTACATGTTTTTTTTTTTTTAAATGTGTACGTATGCAATACATTTTGAATAATTGATTCATTTTTATTTTCATATCTTCATATTTGAAAGGTAACTTTTTAGAAATATTAGAGTGTGCTTCATTAGGCAAAACGTGCTGCTATCTTGTGGCATCTAATGGCGATTACAATACAATCTGCTGTATGTCTTTGTGTGTGTGGGGTGGGTTGGGTTGGGGGGGAATTAATTTCTCATGGATTTTTGCTATCTTCTGCCCCTCTCCCCTGCAAATAGCAAATGTGATTGTGCAGGGATTCACAAAGTGTGGTACTCGGGCTTCCTCTTGTCCGTGTACTGAAAGAAAAAAAAAAGATGACAATTACAGTTCGGTTGTATTAAACTGATAACTTCAATACATTTGTATTTAATCCTTAAGAATTGTTTGTTTTCAAACCTTTATTTAGGGACACTTTTTGTTAAACTTAAATGCAGTGGGCTACGTTTTACCGCAATATTGAAGCGCACTGTAGATGTTCAAAATGTGCATAATGTTACAATGGCTTCAAGGAAGATTGAATGTTTTCTTTTTTTTTTTTTTTATAAACCCACCACATGTATTTTGATGTTGGTTATGTTGATATTTATTTTTAGGTGGCACTTACTGTAAACGTATGAGAACCACTGCCTTGCTTAGTTATATTGCTGCTGCTGTCTTTCATGCAGAAGGCACGCAGGTTAGATCTTGAACCACCATCCATTCCAACCAAGATGGGATGAAATGCAAATGGGTTATGTCAGGAAGAGAATGTGGCATTAAAAAAAAAAATGGGACAAACAAATGTAAGTGATTTGTTGTCATTACCAGTGAGCACAATAGTCAACACAATTGCATTGTACAGAAGAAGGCAAATCCAATCAGCGTTTCTGACCTTTGATGGTACATCGTAAACAACCTTGGAGTGTCCGATCTTTCAAGTTTTTGTGACTCTTGCAGGGCCCACAAGGAGAAGCCCAAGGCCCCCCAACCTGCAGGGCCCAGTAAAGTCGTGCAGTCGTCCCCCCTGCAGCACTCCTTTCTTACCGATGTGTCCGATGTGAGAGAGATGGAGGGAGGCCTCCTGAACCTCCTCAATGATTTCCACTCGGGCAAACTGCAGGCTTTTGGTGAGATGAATTTCGGCGACTTCTAATGCCTGTAGCTCATCACACATAAAAGATCTCATATCCGGGTCATGGCACCAATTGAAAAGTTCCAAGCAAACTTTTACCAACAATCTCCATTGTAATTTTTTTACCCGTGCTGGAATTCTATGCTTGTTGCACAAAAAAAAAAAGTACAGGTAACCACAGCAGTGTGTGTGCATGTGTGTGTGTGGCGCAGGTAAGGTGTGCTCCTTTGAACAACTGGAGCATGTGCGAGAGATGCAGGAGAAGCTGGCACGACTTCATTTCAGCATGGACAGCCATGTGGAGGAGCTTTCCGAGGACCAGAGGAAGTGCGCTTCCGACCACAACCTGGAGCGCCTGCTCGGCAACGTAAGCACAAAAATGAACTCTATAGATTTTTCCAGGATCGGGTCTTTCCTTGAGTGTTTATTTTTATGTTGACTTTTGACATTTAATCCCAACAGCTGAGAACAATTATCTGTACTTTCTGCTCCTTACTTTTCAAAAGAGATGTAATTTTTTTCAAACTCTGCGAATGTTAAAAATATATTTTTTTAAATATGAGAGAGGGGTAAAGTCAACCGTGGTTGAAATTTTGATTTATATATCTTCGGGTCGTATAAGGCAGAAAAAACTGCCCCATGTGTGAGTCAAGTGGCATGAATGACGATGCCGCAAATTTGGAGACGCAAAAATATTCTTCAGCCATGGCCGTGTTCAAGAGAATTGTTGGTGTTGTCGGTGTCTTGTGCTTGCCTGCTTCTGATGTCCATAAATTCTTCATACATTCATAAAAAACAAATACAGCGGTCTAGAATGTCTACACACACCCCTGTACAAATGTCAGGGTTTTGTGATGTAAAAAATGAGACCAAGATAAATTACTAAACTTTTTGCAGCCATTCATGTGTCCTATAGCCTGTCCATCTCTAATGTGAAAAAAAAATTATTTGCGTGAGTTAAATTAAAATGAAACAACTGAGATAACGTGGGTGCACCAGTGTGCCTAAATCATGCCCCAGAAAAATGTCAAAGAATGAGAAAAATAACAATTGGGCTGTTACTGTGGTTCATTTGCCATCATGGAAAGCTCATGAAATATTTAATCAGGCCAGAACAACATTCTAGTTGTCCGTTTAACCTCCCTGTGCCGGGGCGGTGAGCTCATTTAATACAATTGTGGCTGAGGCTTGTCTTGATAAAGGGCATGAGATGGAAATATTGACAAGCAGGCAAATTATGCAGTATGGCATTCAGTATCAGTGTCAGGTTCAGTTCCCACTTACGCACGTCTAACTTTCTTTTGTCTCTGTTGATCTTACAGCTGGAGGAGCTCAGCACCTCAATGTATCCTTTTTTTTTTTTTTGGTCTACTCAGTTCTAAAATACCCAGGACGCTTTTTGTAATCTTTAATGTACGTGTTCAGACAAAAGCTCCATTTGGCTGAGAACCAGGATCTGCCCAAGACATCTGCTCCCTGACTAAGTGAGGTGTTGAGAGGCCGTAACATCCAGGCAGACCCGGTTACCATGGACGTACTCCACGCGGTTGCCATAGTAACATGATGAACCCATAAAAGAGGGAAGGTACTTTTCCGTTAGGTCATTGAAGGTGCAGCAACAAATGACTATACCAAAACTCATTCACGGCACAAGAAAAGGTCTGACAGACGGTATTCTGATGATTGAATCTAATGAGTGTACTTTGCATTTCGAAAGGACATTTCATCAGCGTTTTGAATTTTTGGGGACACATTACCCTTGGAATTCACATTGTGGTTCAGTCAGACACTTTATATCTTTGCTAATGTTTTGAACCGGGTGTAATAATGTAGGACAATCTTCACTGCATGGAAGAGCAAATGTAGAACTTGGGTATTTGTCAAATACCCAAGTTCTTACTTTGTACTTAATCAAATACTATTTGATTAAGTAACCTGTTCAATATTGGGATACACATTTCCGGTTATTTTGACTTATTGGATAAATGTCATTACAATTTCTCTGTATTGTCTTGGGGTTTCAGTAGGATGTGTATACGGTGTCTTTATATAGGGATTCAAAATGGCAGCTACTTCCAGTTTCGGAAATTTAAGGAGCGAGTTTTTGCTTGATCGCAAATGTGTTCCCTGACAGGCAATTTCAAGTTATTGCTTTGCCCAACCAATTTTTTTTTTCTCACCTGTGACTCTATTAATAAACAACACGTGGGATTACCTCTTGGAATTGAACTCAGCTTTCAGTGTGATAAGTAACATACGACCGAAAGTTTTTTTTTTTTTTTTTTTTTTTTACCTCCACTGACAACATAACTTGCAAAACCAGCATACATAATTGGGGATCGGTAACCAATTTCAAACACGTGTACTTGATACTCACTTGCCACAACAACACGATCTAATGAGCCAGTACCCAAGCTGTATCATAAATTGAATATTGTCATTTTACAACAGTATACTGTCAATCTATCAATACTGATAAGTTTACTGAGGTAAATAGCACTACCAAATGGTATGGGCAGTGAGTGATATTATGCATGGATTGCGAAAAAGGCACAGGAAGTTCGATTTACAGAAATAAAACACTTTATATATATATATATATATATATATGTATATATTTAGATATCAATCTGTCTCCGTCATCGTTTCCAAATATGTCGAATATAATTTAACAATCAAAGGCGTTAAAAGGCTACTTGAAGACTGGCACTGTACTGTGAATCCTCCATCTGTGCCTTTTGTTTCTCCGGCAACAAGGGGAGTCAGCCCAAAGTCCTTTTCAAGAGCCTTGATGCAGGCATCAATACACACTTAGCTATTACGAAGCGTGTGTCTCATTCCAGAGAAATGGGTCACACAAACAAAACAGTCTGCAGCACATCAACAAGATTTAAAAGGGTCACATGACAGAAAAAAATGGACTTATGATTACAGAAGAAACTAATACTGTGCAAATACATAACAAGCTGTACAGAAGTATCTTGTACTATGATAAATCTCATTTTGATGACTCAGCAAAAAAAAACAGCCACATAAATCATCCGAAAAAATATCACCGGACATTTTCTGACACCGCTAAAACACGATACAACTTTCAGATCCCTGTCTGTCCTTTTTGTGCATTATAACTTTACAATCTGCAAATGGCTCTCTGGTTTGTGGTTCGTGTTCAGCAGATGAAGTAAAGCAATGACTGATTCATGTGCGAATCTCGCATTCATCATGAGCTACCTTGTCAATGTGCAAAGAGAGCAGTGTTGTCTGGGAGCAGGACCTGGTGTCAGGATGTTGCAAACTTCCAAGCTTCTGTACCAGAGGAAGAAATATCACTGAGAAAAGAGTAAAAGTTCCTCATCGATGAGGACTTTTCTCTTCATTGGGAGAAAAGTGCAGGCACGAAGAAATGTTGAACATCTCTATGTCTTCAAGTAAGTAAGGTCAATGTTGTGTCTGTATGGTCTCCAACGGCTTGCTTTTTATCTTTTGGAGATGGACTTCAGAACCTCGTTTAACCCTTTGTTGACGTTGGCCGACTGGGATGCAGCACACTCGCACAGGCCGGGCCCCATTTGGGCGTGAAGAGCCACGCACAGGTTGGCGGTGGCCGCGCGCACGCTGCCGCCGCGTCCGTGAATGGTGCCGCTGTGGCTCGACGTGCCAAGCAGGTGCCACAGCAGGGGCAGCGCTTTCAGCTCCACCATTTGGGGCTTGCGAGGGTAAAGCTCGCTCACTAGATCTGGAATTACAAAGACCAGATGGTTAAAAGAGCTTTAGCGCCCCGCCACTCAAAATGGGGGCCGCCTTAGCTACGGCTTGAGTGTCTGTTAAATCCTTTGCAATACATTACAGTAGCTATGTCAAATCATTTAAAAAAAATAATAAAAAAAAAAGCTCAGAGATGATTTTGATTCAAAACATAAATCTACTTGCAGCATTACTAGCCCTCTCACACACCGCTCAAAAATTTACAGGTAAGGTAAAATATTTGCTTGTTGGAAGCGGATAATTTGGGTAAATGTTTGTCAATTCACTTTGCCCCCAAACTTACATTTTCATTACTTTAAGGAGTTCGTGCACAATTGAAACATTATACATCCACTATGTACGTATATCAACAGATTTCCTTTACTCATATACTATGTTTTACTCATCAATGTTATAGATTACTGTCGGCAATATTACGCAGTCCACTGTTATTTCACACAAATTGTAGAAATGATTCTGTAGGATAATCATTATTCCTACTCATCTGTTTTTTCTTCCGTCTGTCTAAATGGGCAGGCACCATGTCTTTGGACATGTTTAGCACGACTGACTCCACGAGGCAACTTCTATGAAAAACGATTGTGAAAATGATTCCACTTACTGTTTGTCTGCTTCTTAACAGGAGTTAAATATGTCATTAATTAAACGTAAGTCACCAGAGGAGTTGAAGAAGTCACTAAATAGAGCCAGCAGGTTACGAAGTTGGCAACACCCACTGCTTTTGTGAACTAGCTTCTCTCTATTCACAGCCAAGTTGTTCGTGAAAGTGCACATCAGCGACGGACAATGGATAAATACTGACTTGAACTGAAAAAGCCTATCTTGGATCGAACATGCAATTTTTTTACTTTTGTCCACAGATGCCAGTGATGAAGTAAACCAAATCTTTGCAAGTTCACGGTCAAAGCATCATGTCATTAGCCTGTAGTTGCAGCACACATTGGAAGTACGAACAAGTGGAAAAGTAAAACAACAACAACAACAAAGCCAGTCAAGCAGTTGTTTGATTTACCTGCAACCTTCTCAACAAGATCCACCTTGGCTTTGCCGCTTGCAAATTGAGCCTTAGTGCAGAAAGGCTGAAGGAGGAGACTGTTATCTGTCAAAAAGATATAGCGATACTGTTCACCGGAGACAGTGAACCAAAATCTAAAATATTAATGGGATGCGGATTCATACCAAGGTTGACCATAAGGGCATCAATGGTTCCAATAGCAGCAGAGTAGATGGCGTTGTTTTTAGAGTTCAGGTGATTGTCCACAATGGCTGGGACTAGAATGTTCACTACTTGAGACAAATTGTCCCTCATCAAGGGGATGATTTTCTGCAGCGACTCAAGGGCGTAATGGTTGACCTTGCTGTTGGCCTCCTGCAGCCTGGCCTTGAGCGCATCGAAAACCTAAAAACAAATGGAGAGCTGAGGCCAAAGTCTGCTTTCAATGTCCACGTTTAAGTGATTACGCTGAGATTTCTCCATACCGGGAATATATTGTGGATGACAATGTTCGGGTTGTGCTGGCAGTCAGCCACGAGCTGGTCCATTCCTTTGATTCTCTCTCGGAAGTCCTTGGAGCCTAGCAGGCCTGTTATGTGCTTGATGTATTCATTCTTGTCCGCTATACTCTGTGTCTGAGATCTGTTGCTGTAATTACTGTTGGACATTCTGGAAAGGACGCACAATACAGTGGGTGATGTATTAGTGCCAGCCTTGCCTTTAATTGTACACGACGTGTACAAAACTTGACGTCTCTCTCTTGATTGATGTAAATCGTTTTAGACAGCTCTATGCTTTCAGTCGTCATTATTACCTTTTAGGTGTGTCGGCCAGAAGTACTTTTGTCCTTATGCTGTATTTATGTGAAACTGATCTTTTTTGTACTGGTTAAGTAGAAACATGCTTACCTGATGGGGTGGTAGAGTGGCTCTCTGGTGAGAGACAAGGCTCGGACTGTACCGCTGCCTGGGAGGGAGCGTCTGCCCCTGGCTGACTGGGTGTCCTGCGGCATCTCGCCAAGCCCCTAACGCCACCCCCGTAAAAAAAAAAACAAAATAAAAATTGGGTTAAGACTCAAGTTAAACACAGCAATTGTGTTTTGAAGGTATTACAGTTGTACCTTGGTCTTCAGAGTTAAAATGGTATCTCTGGTAGTTTGCAGGTCTTTGGAGGGAATCGTTTTTTCCAGGATCTTCTCAAAGTCTGTGTGGCAGGACAGGCACAGCAGCATTCGGCGGCCGTGGTATCTAAGGGTTAAACGATTAAAGAGTCTTTGTTAATTCCAGATGCTCAGACATGTACATGGATTTTCAGGCAAGAAACAGGTGTCAATCATTTTCTAATCTCCTGAGACAAACCTCTCTCCCACTTCATATGGTCCTTGTTTAGCGTAGTACACCCCATGTCACCAAATAGCACAGTGACGACTTGTTAGATGTATTGATGCACGGTTACAAGTTTTACAAGTCTTTGTACACCTAAACGGACCTACAAGTCATCAGGCATACCTTGCTTCCTGCGAGGAGTCTTGTGACAGCTTGGTGACTGCAGGTAAGATTCTTTCAGTTAGATCTTTACCTCCAGAAAGGAGGCGAGCGGCTCCGACCTTTTCCACCAAATTTGCCAAGTGTTGGGCAGTGCACTTCCTTACCAATCCATTGAGATGACTAACGGCAAAACAAATTATTTTAAGATCCCAATTCCAGATTCTGAGAAACGGCATATGTGCTGTGTGTGCTGAAAGCATACTGACCCAAGTCCTCCAGAGAGCAGCGCATGAATGCCTCGGGTTGGAGTGCAGTGCTGCACCATGCTGTCTAAAGCAGCATCAACATCCTGCCTGATAAAGGCGTTACTCTCGCCCGCCTTGTGCAGCAAGGCTTTAACGGTCCCCTCTAGCTCCTGGTCCATTGCCTTCTGCAGGTGCATGTAGAGGTCACCCAGTGTACACACGGCAGTCCTGGACACGCCTGACCTGAGGTTCTTCACCTGAATAAGGAGATTTTCATACTTATAGGAAAACAACAAAGTTGAATGTCCCTGAAGGTTGCACTTTTTTTTTTTTTTTTTTTTTTTATGCAACCAAAAAAATGGCCTTGAAAGTTGTCAGGGTTTCACTTTGTCGTCACAATAAACTTTGTTTTTGTTGTGTAAATCGATTCATCTTTGAATGCCGCCTTTGTCATTCATACTGAAATGATTTCCCGCAGTTTATTACATGTGGTGCTCAACAATTTTTTTTTTCAAATGTGTAAGACAAGTATGTTAAAATGTGAGTTAAAATAGCCCATAGAGTTGGTGACTGTGATGGCAACATTATGACCCTGAAAGAGACAATTACAATATTCATTTTCATTATTTGATTCCAAAATACTGTACAAGCAAATCAGAAGTAAATGGGCCTCCTGCTAGGGATTGTGTTTGACCTTGGCAGTTCTACTATATGATTACTTTGTCATTACATCATATAAATGCTGTTACCTCTTGAATGAGAGATAGGCAGACATCACGAAGCCGGCCCTGGAGTGTGTCAGGATGGTACTGGGCCAGAGAGCGTAGGAACGTAAGACCTTCAATCTTCTTCTCCCTGAAAAGCAGAACATTAGGGGAAAGCATTCTCACATAATGGACAAACATTTTTCTTTGAAGAACCATTGACAGTCAATGTGATGTGCACAGTTTGTATACAAATGCATAGAAATGTACATGCAGTATTTATAACAATAAATATGATTCTTTGCTCTTGAGTTATCAATGTAACGGGATGGGTTTTTCTTAGAAGCTGTGTTTCCCACCAGTGCGTTGAACTCAGCAAGTCAAAGCTGTGCATCAGCGCCAGGTCCGGTTTGGAAAAGGGACACAGTTCAGGAGGCTGAGAGACATTTTTCTTGTGGCCCACAGTAACAGGGGACAGCTCATCTGAAAAAAGGCCCACCAAGACAAGACTCTTAGACCTATAAGACTCAAAACAAGCAATGTGTGTTATCAAAATGAGCCGCAGTGCACAATAGAAAGAACAACAATACAATTTCCTCATGCTCCAATACCTTTAATGGTCGAGCACACGTGCCAATTCCAGTGACCACACTGCTTTTAAACGTATCATTAAAAAACAATATATAAGGTCCAACCAACAAAGAAAAAAAACTCACGGGCCACAACAATAGGTAAACCCGCACATGGAATGAGATTCGATACAATTGCCGAATCACATGAAAATTCTGCTGCAACAGAGTTGGCCTTTACTTCTGTGTTGCCTGAGAAACAGTCAAGGGTGTTTGTTAATTCGATGCCAGTCAACACTTCTGCTGTTACAGTAGATTCACCGTGTGTGTGTGTGTGTGTGTGTGTGTGTGTGTGTGTGTGTGTGTGTGTGTGCGTGTGTGTGTGTGTGTGTGTGTGTAAACATGAAACTATGACTGTACTGTAGCGTGTGACAATGAATAGGGTTCGAAAGCCAAAGATTGTACAGGTGTACCTCATGTTGTGGACATTTTTACTCATTGCATGTTGATACCCCACTGACCTGAGCTGTGGGAGAGCGAGGGGCGTGCTCTGTTCAGGCTGGGCGCCCTCCTCATACGGGACAGGTTTTGGGGTTTAGGAGGCACTGTGGGGGGGCTTGGTTGATGGGGTGGAGTGAGGCATTTGACAGGGCTCTGGGGTCCTGGTGGACTGACCGAGGTTGTGACACTTATTGGTGACCCATCCGAGGGGAGGTCTTCTGTACAAGAAGTGATTGTACTGCCGTTCATATGCAGATCTAAAACAGAGATCATCGTTAATATGTCAAAAATATGTCGACATTTTTGCCCGCATAAAAATAATACTCATTTTTGACTGATGCAGTCACACTGTCTAGAGATGTCACACCTTTACTATTGGGATTTTCTTCATTGGGCGAGGCAGAGAGCATCTGTCGGACACGGTGCCGAATCTTGTCCCTTTCACTGGACTGCTCCTCAGGCTGATCCAGATGTTGCAGCTGGATCTTATCCCTAACGGACTTCATATTCATCACCTACTCGTGCAATGGAAATACATAACAGGCACTGCTGTGACAAATGCGGACGCCTCGTAGTGATCTGAAAAATAGGGCCAAATGTTACCTCATCTGGATAGAGGTTGTCACGGCCCCTGTGGTCACCAGAGATAACCGGGGGGGCTCCCAAAGGATCAGCGATGGGTTTGGTGACTGAATCACCCTGCTCCAGTGACAAGGCCAAAGCCAAACGAGGGGAGGATGCTGCGGTACCAAACACGCCTAAAACAGATTAGGGAACATTTGCAGATGAATTATGTGACCAGCGTTCCATTGTACAAATTTGTAAGGATCAAATTTAAATGTAATGGAAATATACCATGGAAAACAAACAAACAAAAAAAAAGAAAACAACATTCGGCTGAGTTAAAAAAAAAAAAAAAAAGCAAAACTAATGATTATGTACACCCACCTCTGCCAATGACTCCCTCAGGCATGTCTGTGGCTGGCGAATTCTTGCTTCCATTGGTTTGAGATCCTTAAAAAAACGACAACAACAATTCAGTATAGCCCTGAAATCTGTCATTTTATTTCTCCAATGGCTTACCTTTTGTGGACTTGACGGCTCTGAATGATTCACCTAACAACGGTTTCACCAATGGAGGAGAAGGCAGTGTCGCCTCTTCACTGGCTCTGATTGTTCCACTGGAATAAGTAACTCTCTGGCCGACAACGCCTGCCTCAGATGACAAGTCATTCCTCTGAGATAGTCCTTTGAGAAGCAATATTAAAATAGGCGTAGAAAATTTAATTCAAGCCATCAAACGTCTGATTCAATCATTACTACTGACCCCTACCTGGAAGGCTGCTAAAGTCCATGGACACAGAAGACCTCAGGTTTGCAGAAGGAACTCTTCCAATTCGAGGCTTCACTCCTGGGGAGGCCATGCTTCCGGAACTATTAACAGGTATGAGAAGTTTGTGGAACTTGCACATTCAAAAATTTGCATTTGCCACCGCTTCCCTTACACCTGGCTGAAATACAGTATACCAAAATCCTAAACAAGAAATTAATGTTAGGTTTTCCCCTCAAACTAAAACGAATTATAAAACAATACAAACAGGTACTAACATCTTTTTAGCCATTGAAGCAGAAAAGTGTCTGTGTGTGTGTGTGTGTGAGAGAGAGAGAGAGAGAGAGAGAGAGAGAGAGAGAGAGAGAGAGAGAGAGAGAGAGA